CCCCAAGGGATGACGTGGTCAAACGGTTATAAACTACTGCAAGACGGTTTCAGGCTGGACATAAGGAAGAATTTCTTTACTGTCCGAGCCCCCAAGGTCTAGAACAGCCTGCCATCGGAGGTGGTTCAAGCACCTACATTGAACACCTTCAAGAGTAAATTGGATGCTTATCTTGCTGGGATCCTATGACCCCAGCTGACTTCCTGCCCTTCAGGCAGGGGGCTGGACTCGATGATCTTCTGAGGTCCCTTCCAGCCCTAATGTCTATGAAATCTATGAAACACAATAAGAAAGCACTCTGGATGTAACGAAAACCTGTCCCCACAAAGACCCTAGCTCCCTGCCACATAGACCCTAGCACTCCAGTTGAATAGCAAAGCTTCACCTCTCTGTGACAGGCACTCCTAGGTTCTACCTCTTCCCTTGACTGGCTCTTTTTCTTGTAGCCAGCTCCACCTGCTACTCTTTTCTCATGTAACCAGAGCCTTCTGGCTCTCTGTTACAACCTACCTCATGGGTATTTTCTGAGAGTCAATTAACATTAGTAAAACCTTCTGAAAACATGTAAAGGGCCATGCAAAGGCTATGGATTACAATTAATTCCACAATGAAAAGCCCGTGCAGTGCCATGCCAGTAATGCTATATATAAAGTTCTGTTCAGTGTTTGTATCCACCCCCAAAAATTACATTTTCCACTTGAAATAATCTCTGTGATCTTAGAAAGGTATTTCTTTGTTCATTAACTATATGAGAGAAGCTGCTGCAGTTTCAGAATGTCTTAATCTTCAAAACAGGCTGAGTTATTATGAGGAATTAAATAATTTGAAGTTTTCCTTTTTTGGAAGGGTTTTTTGGAACTGCTAACTCTCCTTTGATGTGGGAAAGAAAAAGATAACTTGTGCTGAAAGACAGAACCGCTTGTAATGCACATGTGCTGGTTCAACTTCTATGTTTCATTCTGGCATCAGCTTCATGACAGTGATTTTATCATAAGAAGGTCTTTTATTCCCTTTATCCTTTTCGAAGGTTTCTTGGTTAGGAAGGTGTTCGTATCATACCTTGCTTAATTTTTTTTAATGACTTATGCATCTTGGGATATTACTATTTTCTGGCAGGCTGTTTTAGAAGCTGCTGCTTCTAGTATGTGACTTTATTAGCAGTTACTGATCTCCCCATTTTGGAGGGACAGAGGAGGGCAGGGTTTTTTTTGGCTAGCTACACCCAACTAAACTGCAGGATAGCAGCATGACTTTCTTTACACTGCACTAATCCACTCTCAAGTATTTATCTCATGTTCTTTCAAATTTTCAGATATAGGCAGATACGTTTTTTAAAAAGATCAAAGGTAATATATTCAAAGGTATATATTAAAGGGAAATTTTGGTACTGTGTAAAAAGTTTGAGCTGTTTGTATCACCCATGACATTCCTTCATCCAAATTAGTACCGCACAGGCACTAGCAATGCATTATAAAGAATTTAGGCATGGATATGAATGCTCATTGCTGCTACCCAAGTTTTTTTTCAAAATTATCCTTTACAGATCAGGTGAAAGTAGAAATTGGTTTTGTGTATAATGGAAGACACTCCAATTGTCAGGCTGAATTTTACTCAGTTTACCCTGGTTGTTAAGAGTTAGGCCTGAAATACCATTCTCTTTGAACCTCCTTCTCTAAGATGATGGAGTTCCAGCAAGACATTAGAGGTTCTGAAGGTGCAAAATCCTCACATTTGGAATCAGCAAGCTCAACTGTTTTTCTTTCCCCCACATACAAAACACCATCCAAAAATGAAACAAAACAAAAGCTTCCATTGAAAAACAAAGAGGAGAAACATTTAAGAAATGTCAGCTGGGTGCAGGGGAACTAGCCTTCATTAGTTCCTTCTATACAATACAATAAGTACACTTTAGAAATATTTCGGAGAACAACTGACTTAAGGACTACCGTTCTAAAAACATCACCAGTTAATATAAACAAGTTGGCCAACAATTTTTTACAGGGTCTAGTTACTATCTCCCTAACAATATCATTAATAAATTCAACCTTTAAATGGTGTGACTGAATGCAGTGCTTAACAGCTGCTAGCTACTTTATAAACATCATGGTGACGTGAACCAATTACTCAGACTTCGTTGTAAAAGGAGACAGTATCGGGAGACTTGTGGAATTGCTTATTGTTCAAGATTAAGAGGAAAATGGGGTGAACCTATGTTAGTACTTTTAGGAAACAGTCTTACTTTTGTGTCCCTGACAAGTATGATTCCCTAACAATGGAATTCCACTACATCATAACGAAGTTTTGGAGTGTAGACATCATGCTTCCTTTGAACTCATTTATCATGCTGTTTCCTTTGAGGGTTCAAAGATCTGCTTCTTTAATACAGGGTGGCAGAAACAAAGTATTCTGGATTTTCAAACTGGGGAGCAAGTGCACAACTACACTATTCTGCTTAGTGACTATCCTAGAACACGTCCAGAACAACTATATCACAGAGTTGGCTGTAGTGCTCCCCAGAAGAAGCAAAAGTACTAACACTTAGAATTCAGAGCTCCTAAGTCAAATGTAAGCAATATACATGTATGTGACTCATTTCCCTCTTAAATATGAAAATACTTTGATGAATGTTTCTATGGTTTAGGGGCCTGCTTGATTTGGAGATTTGGCCAATTCAGTGGTGGCCAAATTTCCAAATCAGATTTGGCCAATTCAATTTGGGACAGTGGTATGAATCACCAAATTGAATCACTGTCCCCTGAATCATCCAAATCCAAAGCAAATACTAGCCACTTTGCACAGGCCTAGGCCTAAGTAACATGCTCTAAAGAAGGAAGCTTTCTATAACTTTATGTTTTTCTATTGTCACTTTATGCAGGAGTAGTATATTTAAACTCTAACTCCACTAACATATTATTAGGTGTATTATTTTGACAGTTGATATATGAGCTGAAATGTGCTGTATCACGAAAATTTAGTTTACATAACAATGAATACAGCAATAGTTTAATAGACAGAATATTGATATCCTCCAAAAGAATACAATAATTTGAAGCCAGCAATCTACTTCAAGCTGCTAGCTTCTCATACAAAACATGTTTCTTACAGACTATTCTGTTAATCTTGAGATTCAGTTTTTCTCTTCCACAATTATTATTACTAGGTGGTTCTCAGATAGCTCCGCCTTTGTAGTTTGCCATCTTCCCTTTGATACTTTTGGGAATCTCTGGGTAAAATTTACCCATACTGTGTAGAGTCAGTGAAATGTTTTTTTGTACCACTTTAAGATCAGAAATGACATGGGAGGAACACACATCTCCTATACAGGCAGTCCTTGACTTGAGATGTTTCAAGTTACAACGCAGGGTACTTAAAATGTTTATAAATTGACACCCTGTTTTGACTTTCTGACATCAGTATTGACTTTACGACGCTTGATCTGACCCAATGCCATGCCGGCAAACAAGTTCACTGTGTCGCCCATCTCCCTGAAGAACATCTGTCCAAATTTCCTTAGACACTTTCTTTAAGAAAGTAGACAAGACTCCAGAAAAACCTGCAGCCAAGACTCCTGAGAAGACTCCAGCCAAGAACCCTTCAAAAAGCCCAGCAAAGTAACTTCAAAGAAGTCCTTCCAAATCAATATGGTTGCTATTTACAATATACATACATTAATGTAGCTATATTACTCATCTATAATTGACTGACTACAAAATTCTGGGATATTTTTTGTGAAAATAGGGTATTGGGCCTTGGTTCAGGAACCAATCCCCCATTTATAACATTGTTCCTATGGGAAAATCGGTTCCAAGTTATGAATTGTGTTGTAAATCCAAGGACTACCTGTATACTAGGTAGGGGCATCTGAAGTAATTCTATACAGATGACTAGAGAAGAACATTGGGGAACAGAGCACAAACTATAGGTAGGCTCACAGGAGCCTTCTGTGTTTACACCAGAGTGGAAAGTTTAAAATATAGAAACCTATAAAAGACTCAAGCAGATACATATACTTTTGTGAGGGATTGAGTTCTGTTGGTTGTTGTAGGGTTGAGGACCAAGCTGATGTTTCATTTTATATCTGTTCCTGTAATTTGTACCACAGGCACTTAGCACCTTGGATAGGCAGGCGACCACTAGCCAAACAGGAAGGGACTGGTCAATGAAGTATCTCTCTCTCTGGTCCTATTGCCTAAGGGCAAATAGAAAATTGCAGAAGGATGTGGAGCGCCACTTGTGGCCATTCCTTTCACTTAAACTTTACACCAGCCTTTGGGTAAATCAATCTATACAATTATCATGTAAGGCCCTGACTGATTTAGGAAGCAGGATATTCATCCATGCTCCCTTATTTTGACACCTAAGCTGAATCACACTAACATCAACAAGATTACCGTCTTTTGGATCCCTTTGTACAAGGAGTCAAGGAGTCAGCAATTTTTTCCAGAGGGGGGAGGAGGGGCGTAGAATAACTCAGCTTGAACTGGGGAGAGGCAGCTGTGTCCTAATGTCTGCTACCACTGTCACTTGGCTACCACTCAACTGCAGCATGTCATAGTGCAAGCCCCTCTCTGCCACAGCCAGTGCTGCTGGACTGCAGTGTGACATGGACAGAGCTCCCACAATGCCAGAACCCCAGGCAGCTGACAGAGGTGGTGCAGGAAGAGCCCCTACCACCGAATGCTACCAAAGCCACTGCTTCATGGGCCAGATCCAAAGGCTCTGCAAGCCACAGGTTGCCAACCCCTCCTTTACAGGATTAGGTCCTAAATTGTTAACAACAATCAAAGCATTAGGGCCTTGCCCAGTGTAAATTAATGCAACTATACTGAGTTCAAGGGAATAACATTTAATTCAACTGAAGATCAGGCCCAAGTCTTTTACATTTTGTAGAAAAACTGGAAAAAAACCAAGCATCCTATGTCAAGTGTGTTCTGTGTTCTATGTTATTCATATCAGTTAAAGCAGAGTCAAGGCCTGTACTGTTCTTACCAAATGCTCACCTGTAAAATCTGCTCACTGACACTTCATTGGTGAATCCCATTCCTCCCCAGAATTGGAGACAATTATCAGACAGCTTACGGGCTAGGCGGCCTGCCTTTAGCTTACCCATGGAAGCAAATTTGGTCACATCATTGCCTCTTATATACAGAGCTAAAATTAAAACACAAGTTTTTACAGTAAATCAACAACCACTATTTTTTCTCAGTCCCAGACCTCTCCCCATATTTTTCCGAGCAAAACAACGTCCTTAATATTAAGAAAATACTAGGTAAATATAGAAGCTTACCAACTAAATATAAGGTAAATATAAACCAAATATAAGCATAATTTCTTACATTATAGAAATATAAGCTAAATATAAGGGACATACAGAAGCTTACCAACAGCCCGGTAGAGCAGAGAACGAAGAAGTTCCACTTCAGTTGCTAACTCTGCCAGGCGAAAGTGCACTATTTGGTTGTTCAGCAGTGGCTGGTTGAATATTTTTCGTTGCCGAGTGTAGATGATAGTGTCTTGTATAATATTATCCATTTGTTGCACAACTTAATAAATGTAAGCAGAAAACAGTTGTCATTCAAGTGGGCTTTTTTTGTTCATATTCCCAGGTTGTATAAAATAGGGTTGTATACAATGAACATGCTTGTTTTTCTAAAATAAATTAATCTATGGGGATCATTTTAGCACTTAAGAGTTTCAACTCCATTAACATTCCACATAAAGCTGTATTTAAAGGTATATGGGAAACATACTCAGAATCTCAGATCCAAAGAGATCTTTCTTTCCAGCCATATTGCTAAAACCTTTGTCCAAGCCTTGACAGTCTCCTACCTGGATTACTATAATCATCTTTTCCCATTCAATTCATGCAAAACAATCTACCCATATAGCCTATTCACTTATAAGTCTTTCCAATAACTCCACATCTCCCTCTGCATCATTTTCAAGGCTTTACTGGGCACGCATCACTATCTTGTCTCACTTGACTCTTTACTGCGACAGTTCTGCCGCCTTCTTATTAAATGTCTCTATCCTTCTCCCATGCTCTTCCTGCATAGTTTCATAGTTTCTAGGGTCGGAAGGGACCTGAGTAGATCATTTAGTCCGACCCCCTGCCATGGCAGGAAAGAGCACTGGGGTCAAACGACCCCAGCAAGGTGTACATCTAGCCTCGTCTTAGAGACCCATGTTGGAATGACTTCCAGTACACCATTTAAAAAGTATTTTGTCATTATCTAACTTTCTGAACGCTTTCTTAAATAAATATCCCTCACTCAGTTTTGACCATAAACTGCAAAAAAATGCCTGAATGCCAGAGGAATTAATATGCTACATATTATACCATGCTGCCTTCTGTCCTTTTGGAAAGGAGTATAGTTCATCCTTGGTGTGGGACTTGAACTTTACAGAAGGAGCAATGAATTTTGCTTAAAGGTTCAAGTTACACAATACTAAAGGCTTAGCAATGAAAAAAGCTAATGATCATTTCACAATTACACTGGTATGTTGCCAAGATCCCCCAGAATGGAAAAGCAGCAAACTAATAGCTACAAACACCAAGATGGGAAAAAACTTCTGGATATGTTCTTTTAGCCCAGATGTTATACTAGAAGAGGCACAAATTCTATTACCTGGAATTCTGTAGAAAATCTGGTTGAGCAAGACTTATACAAATTCATTTACTGTGAAACTACACAAAAAAAAATTAAAGAAATTGCAGGTGTTCATATTTCTAACATGGCAAAGCTAAAATCTACAGCAAAAGCACCTGAGATGCAGCATGTTGACTATGTAAGTAAGTGGCAAAAGTCTTATACAGTATGAAAATATATAAATATTTTGCAAACTATATGATAAATACAGACTGTGAAGTCTTTTCTGCTGTAAGACTGAAGTCTGCAGTCTTTCTAAGTTCTCTACCTTCCTTCAGCCTAAAATCTCACCAACACCCTTATACAGTAACAGCCGTGTTAACCAGCACTTGATTAACCCGTATGGCTCTATTAACCAGCATGCTGGTTGACGCCGGTCGATGCGGCAAAAGGGAAACCGGAAGTGGGACTTCTAATTTTGTCGAATTCCACAGCCCAGGGGAAAGCAGTCTGCTCAGAGCCTTCCCCTCCCTTTCCCCCAGCACACTGACATCAGGGGAGGGGCAGCACGGTTAATCTGAGACGTGGATGCGCTAGACATGGCAGGAGGGGAGAGCAAAGACGCCTCTCAGATAACTGGCACATTTGGTTATCTGGCATGCCCCATTTCTCATGGGTGCCGGATAACGGAGCTTTTGCTGTACCATATTTTTTCACACACAACACACTAATGCTGAAAACTGGAGAGCATAATGTAAACAAAGAAATAGTAACAGCACTTTCTGCTACCTAGGCTTCTGCTGTGCAAAAGCCTAAGTAAAGTCTGCACGTAATCTAAAGAAAGCAGGAAAAAAAAAAAGAGGGTGGGCTCCATAACTGCTGCTACTCAGTTACTTACTACACAGAAGGAACTTTTTAAAATTCCTTCTGCTTTTCAAAAACAAGGTACTGTATCTTATTCCAGGGCATGTTATAAGCAAGAAAATATGGTAAATGTACTATTTTTCTGTCTCTCTTGCCATAAAATCTTCCCCATGTGTTGGATCCATCTAGAAACCAAGGTTGAACTGAACCTGTACGCTAGGACTGCGTGACGTTTCAGTAGCCGATTCAATTTAGAGGAGTTTCAGCCCTGTTCAGGGACCGAATCTCCAAATCCAAATCGAATGGGGAGACCAATTAAAATCTCTGAATCAATTCAAAGCATC